TGGTCCCAGGAAGACCCATCCAGTTGTCCATTTATTAAAACTATCCAATTATTTTTGTTCTTTGTATGTTGTGCATAAGGTACCTCCTAGTAGTACCTTATTACTACTTTCGGTATCAGATCAGTGTTTTAGACTCCGAAAAGGTGCACCTCGAAGTGTGAGATGAGTCTGGCAATGTGTAATTGATAGAAATCGGTCAGGTGTTTTGGCCACTAATAAGTACTTATTGGCCCTTCAAGTACTTCTTACTTTACACTCATCCAGTCCGCCACGTTTGGCGCATGGAGGCACTCTGGTAGAAGAAACGAGACGAGTACAGTGGCACTTCAGAATCGGTCTTGAAGTCTTCGCTCAAGGCCTGCAAGTATAATTCCCAAAGAATGGTCCTCAACCTTATACTTCCTGATCTGCGAAAGTACTTGCCTGTTAAAGGTGAAACTTGGTGGACTCGAAGTCCTGGTTAGCGGCATGAAGTCTAACAAATACTGGGTGAACGCAAGTTGCGTGGACAGGAGATGTGAGAGGGAAGTTTGTATGGGACATGTGGGCGGAGCCTGTCTTTGACCCCAAAAACATGGCGTCAAAAAGCCCCACTCTCGCACCTACGACTATCCAGTCTAGTTATAAGTAGTATATACATGTCTATGACTTCCACATTTAAGAGGAAGATCTCCGCGTACACCAAGACCTCGGACAAGCATCGCCAATCAGACTGAAATCGTTGATACAGACCTGGTAAACAGCTCCTGACCTGATGGTGTAGTCTTTTGACTCTAGGGAAGAGTGGACAAAATAATGCCATGACGCCACAATGCCAACCAAATTCCTCCAAGACCAAAGAGCTTCCGATTTCCACCTGCTAAGGAAATTATGCACTACGCCGGACAGAGCACCATCCGAACAAACGTACCATCTGTATCATCTGTACAAAGGCAATCCAACGCGCGACTGGGGACATCCCCGCCAGTCCGTGGACCACACACTGAGCCACAGCGAAACCCGAAAAATCGACGGTGGAATCACAGCGCTACACGCACTCGATATAAACACCACAACCCAGCTATCGATCTTGGACCTGAACTCATAGTTCCTACTGCGATGCCCAAGAACAAGAAGTTAAAGAGAGATTTCCATCAACCAGTATACGTTTGACTTGAATTTTTATGATCTCAGACTCTCTAGAACGTAAAACTTACCTAGAATTTCTGCAGCTCTCGCGACAACATATCAGTACCGCATTCTCACCTCGAACTTATCTCTCTTTTCTCGAAACCTTGATTTAAGCATTTCGGATACGGACTCTATTAAATTCGATTTTTGCGATACGACAATTGGAATCTAAAAACCACTCGGGGGTTAGTTCCTTCCTTCCAATCTTTGAGTTTCAGACTCCTTATTATTATTTATATGAGACTTCCAAATGGAACGCAAATAACGTACTTGGACGATCATATCTTTTCCTTCACCTGCTTTCAATTCTAAACCAAGCTCACTGCAGGATTAAATTTGCCTGTGCATGATCCAATACAAGGTGACCCAATAAGCCGATCTGGTATTACTGCTGCGACATTATTGTCTTTGCTTGGAATCTGCCAATATAGGGGACCCCACATAAATTCTATGTCAGGGCTTCCCAACCCATGGGTCGCGAACCCATTTGGGGTCGCAAAGATCATGTTTGGGGTCGCGAACTGGGAACTAAATGCAAAGATATGTTTTTCTTTGCGATCTTAGCGCATAGACATAGGCGGGGCAACCTGTCTAACTTCGACCAGTACTTGGGGTCGGGAATAGTAGGAAAGTGATATTTGGGGTCGCGCGTGAAAAAGGTTGGGGAGCCCTGCTCAAAGTGAACTAAATATTTTTCCACTACTAGTCGTTGCCATTTTTGGCGCCTAATTGAGGATTGCGTTATTTCGAGTTGGCCATATTCCCTATTACAGTATTTTAGATAGATATTTCAGCAGGAAGTGGCAAGCAATAAGAAAGAGTGCGCCCTATACCAAGTGGCGGTATAACGAGGCTTGAGATTACATACTGCTTTCTGTAAGCGGGGATATTGCTAATATGATGCTTGGTTACAGAATATCATCTCTGGAAAAATGCTACGGGCGGGCAGCATGAAAACCCAAGAATTTCCATGGAATAACAAGAAGGCGGGATAGTAAAAAGCCCACCGTTTGTACATGAATACATTTTATTACACCTCCTAACTTGTTATGCTTTGCACAGGTTCATAATTTCAACAGATGAGAATATTATTGAATGCTATTGCTCTGTGAGTACTACCATATGGTGTTTCCTACCTGCGTTCTATCTGCGTGGGAGGGCTGTCTCATGGGCTAGCCGGAACACGTTTAGAAACTGTTCCCATTACTAGATTTTTTAAAAGAACACCTGAGAGCGATGCATGAGCTTTCCCTAAGTGAGTGAGTGAATGAATAAATGAAGTCACTCTACATTATGCTTTTTCCACACAATGCAGATAAGATAAACGAAATGAATCGCTTCCCACAGTGAATCTGCAGGATTTACATTCAATAGCGAAAAAATCAAGTATTGAAAAAGGCAACTCAAAAATTAAAAAAGAGAGGATCCATTATGCATAGAAATGTTCAAATATGTATGCAACATTGTGTGACTGCTTAATCGTGAATGGCCCATGTTTTCTCTCATGAGCTTACATCCTTAAAGAATTGCATATTAATATGCATGCTAAAATTTTGTAACCGGACCTCTTTACAGTATCTCTAACCCTGATAAAATGCATGTTCAACGTAGCTATATGTTTTAATGTAGTCCAGGAAGTGTGGATAGTAAAAATGTGCATCTGAGATACTCTACTACTGTAAAGCTTTACTAAGCTTTTACTTTTTAAGCTTTACTTCATTAGTTCCATTAGCACTTGGGCAGCAAAGGAGGATATGGTTCAGAGTTTTAATTGTCTCTTGGTGTATGGATTTGAAAAAGGAATCCATGACTCATCTATAACGATCACGAAATTCGTTAGGTACGTCGCATTTTCTGTCTCAAAATGTCTAGAAAGCTTGTGCCTTCGAAAATCATGCTGGGCACCTCGCGACCACACACTTCGTCCAGCTCATTGGACACAATCTTCGCAACGGTTCTATGGAAGGGTCCTGGTCTGCCTGCGATATCATCGATGAAAGGGCGTCGGTCTGACATCACCGTATCTTACATACATTGATATTTTTGTCGAAACTCAGTGTTTTGTGTCTTCCAGAGCTCAACTTTTCTTTGGTGGAAAATTCTTCCGGCTGCGAGCTTTTGTGCCACTTGCGAATAGTCTTGCTATCGGAAATACAATCATTAACAAGCCATACGATGAGTTCGTAATAAAATTGTAATCTTTATTAATGACTTTCCTAGAAGCACATCGAACAAGTTCTGGTTGCACTTCATAGTCGATCCCGATAATCCCATTGGGGAGATATTTATGGCTCAGATACGCCCAGCGAATCCTTTCGAATAGTAGAAACGATGAGGATGACTAACTATAACAGACAAGTGAAGAGGTCACATACGGGTTGATATGATCGCCCCAAATAAGAGAACACAGTCGATACCACATCGAGAAGGACGTGTTGAGTTCAATGGTACGGAATGCCGAGCCGTCTTCTGATGGAACTAGGATCTGGCGGGTTCTAGATGAGAATATTCAAGACATGAAAATGAGGACTCGAAATACAAGGGAAAGGTATAAAACCAATAGGTCTTCACATTCAGAAGTAAAATAAAAATTAATGTGACGTTATCATAGGATACACAATATTAATGGAAGCGAGAATTGTTTACAATTTCCAAAAATGTATGAAGAATTGTCGTTTAATGACCTACATGCATACTGTTTCAAAGGCCGGCAGATGACCGTACTAATTATTTTATTGTTGTATGGGGCAGTTGATGACACCGATGACACGTTTTTCTCTTTTTTTCAAATTTTAACGAGAAAGACGCATCGGAAAGGAGTTCATGATCCCCTATTGCAATTGAAAGTTTCAAAATTGAGGTGAGGTATTAATTTCTGGAATTTCCTCTGTATGTGAACTTCATTCATTGAAGTAGGAGTCATAATTTCGCTCCGCGTGTCTGCGCAGTTTTCACGCTGTTCCGCCGAATGGAATGCTATTGAAGTTGGATGAAAATTTGACTTAGTAAGTTTTGCGAATTCCCCTCTCTCACTTTACCCAAACCACCTACTTTTCAACCCTTTCCACTTCCCAACATTTCCTTGCATGAACCTGTCCCTTGAATTATGTCATTCTGGAGTCAATTTAATGCCATTATGCCTTCACATCTACTTGGAAATGATGACTTTACAAAGGATTGTCAGGTGTCAAATATCAGCTGTTATCTATCAAAGAACTTCGACGCCGCACGCTTCAGATAGTCTTGAGTACCGGATCTTTGATATCATTGCATTTCTGCCCTATTTTACTTGATGTTTTTAACGCTGGCAAGGTTATTATCACCGTTTTCTTCTTCAACATTCCGAGATGCACAGGGGAAAAACGAGACACCGAAGTCAAATATGACATCTGCTTGAACAAGCAGCTCTATTTCACAATTGACGATGAAAAAGTGTCTAGTTTCCAATACGGAAAAGGCTGACTGTGATATTCCTTCAATCCTACTCAATTTGGACGTGTAAAATCGTTCTTAAAATATTTCACTTAATAGAATTTTCATGAAAAACTAGTTATGGCCTTCAGTCTTCAGTCATAGCCAGTATTGAAAAAATTATTTGCAAGAACTCAGATGAGAGGCGAGAGACTCACTGAGGATTGGGACTCTACAGGAGGATAGGGCGGGCGTTCATGGCGATGGGGGTCAAACTGTCCCTGTACGTTTTCCAGAAATCTTTCTAGATACGAAAAGGGACGATGGGATGGAAGGCTGATCAGGCGAGGACGAGGTATACCCCTCTGCTCAAATTCTTCAATTGCAATGCTCTCTGAACGCGGAGGACTCCATGCATCTTCCTCCTCCTCGCTTGGGTCAGGCTCACGATACCTTATAGAAGATTCACAGTCCCTCCAGTCAATCTCTGAATCAAAGTACGGCTTCATCTTTAACCCTGTCGTGCAGGAATTTGTATCCACATTGCCAAATTAAACACCAAACACTGATGCGTATTCATTATTCCGGCCAAGTTCTCGTATATCCAACTACGTGGCAACACTTAACAGATTATGTCCACAAGAGGGGACTGCAAGAACCAGTAGTTTCCAGTCATGTGTACTGTAGCTGAAAAGGCTACAAATCCGTCCATGTGGAAATGCTGCACGAGAGGGTGAAATTGGTAGTATCTGGATGTAATGGAAATAAATTTGCCAAAGGCACTTCCAAAAAGGCATGGGCAACAATGTCGATATGTACTAGTAAAAGCAGTTGTTACAAGAAATGTGAAATGTCACACCTCGCTCTCCTTCGACCAATGAATCTGCGTACGTAGAACGCGATCAGGAATGCACAAATCAAGAGGAGTAGCACACCGCCCACCAACCCCAATATCACTGAAACAAAGAGGGTATAAAATCATGTTTGAAGATCATCTTAGATTTTCAAGTTGAACGGAGCAGAACCGAGTTGGGGACTCACAGCCAAGGGGAGTTTCACAATATTCTCCGATCACCGTTACATCGCAACTGTCAAATATCCGCAAAATCTACATCCTGACAATCTATTTTGTGGTAAATTAAGACTGACGGAGATGTTCTGTGCATACCTGCATTTGCGCGAGAGGGTTTCAATGTTGTAGGAACAATCTCCTCGATTCGAGCAATACTCAAACGTACATTCACCTGTAAAAACATATGAGATGGAAAGAATAATAGATGAAAGACACCATCTAATGAAATCAAAAGGGGAAAATAAAGATGTAAAAAATGCTGTTGGATCCATGGGTCGAACGGAATGTTCTTAGACATACGGAAACCAGGTATTCAGGAATAAGTATTATTTCATGAAAAGGGTGGTCGGATCATACTTGTGGTCGCTGATGTCACCAGCTAAAAGTAAGTTTCTTAATGTAGGCGACTTTCGTCTGTCATAAGTAATCAAATGATTTTCCATGAATCTGACAAGAAAGAATATTCAAAACATGACAGATGATTTTAAATTTGCTATCTGTGTCTCGTCCAAATCATGTTAATTACTGAGGACGATGGACATAAAGAAATCTCCCTCTTTCAATTTCCAGTGATTTTCCGGATTCCGACATGGGCAAATGCGTTTCGTACATTAACATTGTCTCGGTAATAAAACTTTGAGCCGTGATTCCCTGACTCAGCGGACCTCATATCCGAGGTGCTCGAGCGAAGATCCACATTATCGTCATGCGAACGTCCAGTAAGCACCTGTCATCGGATCGAGGAGAGTCAACGCTATCATCCACCGAACAGCTTAGATTAAATAAAACGGATATTCGATTGGTTCTTTAACAACTGCTTGTTACTCAGAAGCAAGACTGATCGATTTGCGATAGATAATCGTGCAGGAACTTGACTACGATAATTCTTCCCGTGTCACTTCCATCTTTTCTAACATATATTGTATCGTCCCTGAGACGAAGCGACAATTGAGATTTATAGGGTATTTTCAGCTAACTGCATGTCAACGAATACAAGCTCTTTTCGCATTTTCCGAACATGCGACGACATAGGAGAGAGGACGTTCAAGCCCTAGTAGTACTGTTAGGTACAACGCACTTCCCCCAACTGATTCTCCAATTTTTTGTTCTCATAGAGCATTAGATTGCTCGAAGGTTTGAGGCTCCTGATGGCGCAACAGTCTTCATTGCCTGCATATCACAGCCCCCACTCAAACCATGACAGGATAATTCGTTTCAACAAGTCAAAGGAATTTAAAGTTGCATAGCAGCTCAAGAGTACTTTTATAATTTTATATATAACTCTAATTCTCTGATGACTGTTTCCTACTTTCACGAACTTCTTCAGTTACCCTCATATATGCAACATAGAATAAATCTGTGATTCTTGGGGAGCTATTTTCCTATTGTTGGGCAATTTAGTTCACTATTCAAAGGTTAGAGGGAACTGTATTTTTCTGAAAACTTACTTGCACAAGCTCGGCCAGGGAAATTTAAGTCGAGATCGTGCAAACCTTTCTTGCAACGGCACATTGGTGATGATCCATTCATAAATGAGATGCAGTCCGAGTGAGAAGGGCACGTGTCGTTTTTGCAAGCGATCGTCTCAGGTTCTGGGGATCATATTCACATTTTAGATAATCTCTGGCGGTCTCTTAATATTTAAGCTAATTTAAGTAATGTTTAATTGGGAATGTGTAGTCCTTGCAGCTGTACGCACCAGAGTTGATATCATAGTTCAAATTGGGATTTTCCCCGAGTGAGTCCGGCAATGAATCACTCATTTGACCAAGAATCGCATCCACCTTATCCTTTAAAGTTTCCCGCATCTTATCTGCTGGATTCTCTCCTGGATTCCCTTCGTAGCCCTCATATTTATCTCTGGGGAACTGCATGAATCCGATGATTTCAAGTGTGTTGCCAATCTTTCTTTGTCCGGAACGTGGAAAGATGACATTCATTCCCCTGATGTCCGTGTCCATGTACGGATCGTTCCCCTCTCCGAATGCCTCATTCGCCACTTTATTCATCTACACAGAATAATAGGCAATGATAATGAATTAATAAATATTTGCAAAATATATGTCCGATTACACTTGCCATGAAGAGTACTTACATGGATTAGAACATTTGCAATTAAATTTGGGACACAATTCATGGCAATGTGTCGTTATATTGATTATCGTTGTATGGACACTGAGTCGTCAAGGAGAAAACTGGTCAAAAGCTCTGAAGCAAAGTTGTAGGAGGTAGGATCCTTTAATCGCTTAAGGAAGCACTCAGAATAAGTTTTTTTTTGTGAAACATGAGAGGGTCCTTATCAAAAGTAAACAATCAAGCGAAACTTGAAGGCCATAGGATGAAGCAGAAAGGGAAAAAAACTTGTGGAACGCTTTAGGCATGGGATGAGGGGATTTTACATTGCTGGATTTCTATATATACTAGTCAACCCATGGAAAACTTCTCCGAAATCTTGGGCAAGAACTCCCGGGTGCATTCGCGGCCTTAGAACTCAATGGCCCTCTCATCGCTATAGGCAGCAGACCCTATCCCAATCTTTACACGTCCCCACGTGTAACCTTTGGAGTGCCATTTCATCCCGATGAATGAAAGATGATTTCCTCGTCGGGGTGAGACCTTCGCCCTTTTATTTATTAGAATCCTGACCCCTTAATCGATCGGCACTTTTTCCTATCGCCTCGTCCGTAAAGTCTATCTCAATCACTTTCATGCAAGTCTATGAGTTAATTATATGGATATGGTAAGGGGATGCCCTTACGAAAATGTCTTATAGGATTCCTATATATTCCTTTA